ATATTAAAGTCAAATTATAATTATTTTCTTACTTTATCTCTTACAAATTATTTTATAAATAATTTCCCTCATCATTCATTAATCTATTGAAGGAATGAAAAGTATGATATAGATATTAATGACCTATAGCAACTTTTTAGTAGTATCGATTGAATAAAGCAAATTGTGGATAACTATTTCAACTATTTTTAAGGATAATTGTAAATTAAAAGTTAAAACTAGTATTTATTTAAGGATTTAAACCATAGGATAACAGTTGAAGTTGAAGTTTTACAAAAATTAACTTATAAATCATTTATTATTAAATGTGTAACATTTATATCTAAAAAAATATTACAAAATTATCTAATATCAATCCGATTAGACTTTATAATATAATCAAAAAAATAAATATATTATAAATTTCTAAGATTGTATAATATAATTTATAATAAAATTTTAATCAATATCATGAAAATATATTATTTTATTTTTTCAATTAATTGATGATTCAGCAAAATTTTAGATAAATATAATAGTTGCAACACGCTTAGATATTGTTTATAATTGGATTAATCATCTTATAATTTTTTATGAAATGAATTAATTAGTTATAAAATAAATTAGATTAGTTTATTTTAAATACATAAATTTGTAAATAATAAACATCTCAAATTTGTTCTATCATTTTTATTATGTTGTCAACAAAAGTATTTATTAACTTAATCTTTGATCTCTTTCAGTAAGTTAACTTCTAAATTATAAATGATATTAATTACGTTATTCTTTATGTATTATATATATTTATATTAGAAGTCTACTGTTTATATTTAAATTATTTATAAGCAGATTTTAATCTCCTAAAATTTTTGATTACCCTTCTCCGTTTTTCTGATCTTAGCTCCAAAAATCTATGACATTATTAACTGATCCTAAATTATTAAGGTAAAATTGATTAAATTTTATTTTTAATTAAATCAATTTTGTCCTCCATTTCATTTAAATATGCGTTTATAATGCAGAGCAATAATTTAACAAGTATAAATGCATTCATGATAAATAATGCAATAAAGTAAACATTAGAAATGCTTTTAAATTCATATTCCATATTAAGTCCTATTCCCAATATAATCGAAGCCCCACAAATCAATGTTGATTGATAATCTAATAGATTCAATCTATAAGATTTAAATGGTTAATATTTATGATTTAATAATTGATAAAATAATAGAATAAAATAAATTAGGGAACCTTTTAAGATTATTGAGTCTTCATAAAAAATTAAAAATAAAATAACTAGTTCTTTTGTAATAATCTTGATTATTTCCCAAAAGTAAGCCTAAGGTTTGTATTCATAATAAAGATATCCAAATAGATTCTTACCTCTTTTGTAAATAAGATTATGTCTTTAATTATACAATCCTAAAAGTAATCCTATTGGTATTAGAATACCTAAAAGTGATAGAAATGGAATACAAAATGTTAATACCCAATTTTTATGAACAAGAGTATCAAATTAATAAGTAACATTGGCTTAGATCCAAGAAATACCTGAAATTTTTCGACTTGAAACTAAAGCAATCAATGATCCTATTAAGCTGGGCTAAAAGTAAATGTACATATAGATTATTGCTGTCATTACAATAGGTCCTCTATATTTAATTTAGTTTAAATATATGAGGATAGAATAAAAAATAGCTAGGATTAAGAAGTAAATACATGGAAGTATTAATTACCAAATTAATCTGATGTAATGAATCTCAATTGATGATAAATCAACTAAAGAAATATAATTAATTTATACTTAAAAAACAGTCCATTGAATAGGAAATTCTTTGTATCGGACTCCCAACTCCATTTAAAAAATAGAAGTAACTGACTGGGAAATTCAATTTGAATGTAGTTAAAGAACTTATGATTTATAAATAATTAGTAAATATCTTAATTAAGTAAGGAGATTCTAAAAAATAATATTGAGTTGTTATTGCCCCTTTAACACTAAGAATGATAGTTATTAGAGTCCTTCAATAATTATCATATAAATTACCATATACTAAATCCAATAATTTAAAGTAAATTAAATCTAATATTTTCACAAGATCCACATGTATATTATTAAGCACTTGAATATTTTCCTTGTCCTCTTATATTTTGAAGATCGCATTACTCACACAACGCTCCTATATGACCTAAAAAGCATGAGTTATCTCCATAATCCCATTATCCAAGACAATTCTCTTTCAAGTTCTAGCATTCTTGAATTTAATTGTTATCAAAATAAGGTCTCCAAAATCCCTAAA